ATAACAACAGACCCCACGGAAATATGAAGAATCATAAAAAAGATACTATGAGCAACTCTATTCCAACAAACTGCTCAACCTAGAAGAAATAGACATATTTCTAGAAAAATAAAACCTTCCAAAACTCAATCAGGAAGAATTAAAAAATCTGAATAGGCCGATAACTATGGAGGAAATTGAAGCAGTAATAAAAAAACTTCCAACACACAAAAGCCCTGGATCAGACAGATTCACAGGGGAGTTTTATCAAATATTCAAAGGAAAAATAAAACCTACCTTCCTCAGACTATTCCAAAAAATTCCAGGGGAAGGAACACTTCCAAGCTCTTTTCACAAAGCCACCATTACCCTAATCCCAAAACCAGATAAAGACAATAAAAGAAAGGGAATTACAGGCCAATATCCCTCATGAACATAGACACCAAATTTCTCAACAAAATTCTAGCAAATCGAATCCAGTATTACATTAGAAAAATCATACACCATGACCAAGTGGGATTTATTCCAGGGATGCAAGGATAGTACAATATCCACAAATCACTAAATGTGATACATTACATAAACAAACTGATAGAAACCATATAATCATACCCAAAAGCATTTGACAAATTCCAATACCCTTTTCATGATAAAAATTCTCATCAAGGTGGAAATAAAAGGATCATTCGTTAACATAATAAAAGCCATATATGACAAACCCACAGCCAACATTATACTCAATGAGCAAAAACTCGAATTTAAATGTTTGAAAACTCTCTGAGATACAGAAGGAACACAATAAAAGTGTTTCCATTCAGGCTTATGTATTTATTTTTAAAACACTGACAGGGTTTATTATGTGCCAGACATTACTGTAAATAATTTACAAATAGCCCTATAAAATAGTACTAAGAATATCCACATTTTACAGAGAAAAGAACTGAAGGACAGAGAAGTTACATGGCCTGCGCAAAGGCACACAGCCAACGAACAGTAGAACTAAGCATTGAGCCCAAGCAGCCCCT